GCCTATTCTTCACTCTGCGCATGCCTCCACTCCGGGCTTTTGGAAGGATCAACGATAGTGAGTCACCTGGTGTTCCCCTCAACTGTCGTCATGTTTGGGAATTCTAAGGCCCGACTGTCAGCAGAGTTAACTTTACCCCCTACTCCAAATACCCCAAAAAATATTAGTTGGTATTTGTTTTCAGAAAATGCTGGTTTTTCATCGTCCTTTTTTAATAGAGGGTCGACATCATACCCTGAAAAAAGAGGGTAATTAGAGTATAGGAGGTGGTCTAAACTGTCAGCAGCGATAACTTTATTCCTGGAATCCGTCTCTCACACCAAACATGGAAAGGAGCTCAGTTCGCGAATGATGCAGAAACCATGGGTGGTCAAACAAACAAAAACCACCCTACTCCAAATACCCTCTTTTGTAGCATATTTCTTGGAAAACCCTGGTTTTTCAGAGTAAATACCTCCATGATACCAAAAAGAAGGAGGGTATTGGGTAATTTGGTGGCTCCCAGCCATCCCCTTAGCTTTCTAGCCTTTTAGTGTTTAGTGGTAGTTTCCATTTAACCCACTGAAAGTTGAACTTTTAGCGGGGGATCAGAAAACGGGCAGCCCAGAAATGCAAACTCTTCAGTCGCACAGCTCCTCCCGGGCCAGGTTCGAGCACTACAAGCAGTGCCTCGCGTCGGCGGGTTTCGGCAGCATGTTCCTTCCATGGAGCGATGTTTGGTGATTTTCCCCGTTTTGAAGGGAATCGATTTCACTACTGGAAATCTCGTTATTTTTCCCGAAAGCATGGCGAAGGGTTCTTCCGCTGGGTTCATGGGAGTTATCATCATGAGAGTCATTGCAAAGAGTTATCATCATCAGAGTCATTGCAGAGAGTCATTGCACAGAGTCATTGCACAGAGTCATTTGCACAGAGTCATTGCACAGAGCCATTGCACAGAGTCATTGCTCATGAGAGTTTCAAATTCCTTTCTTCTCTTTTTAGGGCGGCGGGGTAGGGCCGACAGCACTCTACGAAAATCAACCCTCTGCGGAGATCGGCGTGGTCGAGGTCAAAAAAACTGTGGACTTTTTTCGATTTCTGATCTGTGCGCGCGACCCTCTGCGGAGATCGGCGTTGTCGAGGTTACAAAAACAGGACGTTTTACGATTTCTGATCTGTGCGCGCGACCTTCTGCGGAGATCGGCGTGGTCGAGGTTAAAAAACTGAGGACGTTTTACGATTTCTGATCTGTGCGCGCGACCTTCTGCGGAGATCGGCGTGGTCGAGGCTAAAAAACTGAGGACTTTTTACGATGTCTGATCTGTGCGCGCGGCCCTCTGCTGAGATTCGTGTGGTCGAGGTCAAAAACAGGACTTTTTGCGATTTCTGCGACCCTCTAGAGAGATCGGCCTGGTCGAGGTTAAAAACTGAGGACTTTTTGCACACTGGCGAGGCAGCTTGGCGTGCCTCAGAAGGTCGATGGCTGCAAGCTGTCGAAGCCTCAATTGGCTGCAGCTGTCTTGCAGAAGTTCACCCCGCAGGCCAGGCCTAGAGATGTGTTCATTTCTTTGCTGTGGGCTGCGCTTCTTTCAGTTTTGCGGACATTCTGGTGGATCATGCTGGCATGCAATTTTTCGTGGATCCCGCAGGACGAGCCGAGAAGGGCGCAGCGTGGCTCCAGGAAGAGCTGGCGGCCAAGGCTGTGGTGGAACTTCACGCTCTGGCGCGGCAGCTCGGCGTGCCGCAAAGGGCTGGCGGTATCAACTTGGCGAAAGCTCAACTGGCTGACTCTGTGCTGCAGAAGCTGACCGAGCAGGCCAGCCTCCATTTGTGGAGAGACTCGTTGGGTGTTGTTTCGTTTGTGGATGCTACGCAAGGTGTGTGTGTGTGTGTGTGGATGCTAGCTTGCGCGCCTCTGTGCTATCTTTGGCCAACGACTTGCGGATGGGCCGGCCTTTGCCAGAGTTGGGCAGCCTGTCTCCGGGCACTCGTCGCCTGCTGCCATTGGTGCGAGCGTGCATGCAGGTGACAGTGTTGCAGCCGTTGGGTCAGGCCCCACTTCCATTCAAGCAACGCTGCCTCCGAAGGACGTGGACATGGCTGAGAACATTTTGTTCGTGCTGGTTGGACGGCAGAAGAGAAAGTCAAGCTTGATTCATGCGGGCTCCGAGAGAGGAGTGTGTAGCCGCGGTGGAAAAGCTTCGCCAGACATCCAAGTACTACGCTCAGGCCACTGTCGATCTCAATCGACTGCCTGAGGGAGAAGACAGCAGAGTCTTCGAAGGCTGCGTCTTGGAGACGGCTTCCGACAGCTGGCTACCTTGCTTGGGAACTCTTGCAAAAAGGGCCTGCCAATGCTCAGGGGCAAGAAGCAGCTGCCGACGATGCTCTCGCAGAGGACAACGCTGTCGTGCGGTCATCCTCTGCGAGCGCGTCGTCTTGTGGGCTCGTGCGCTGGCCAGACGATGTTCTCGCAGCAGACAACGCTGTCGCGCGGTCATCCTCTGCGAGCGCGTCTGCTGCGCGCGCGCGCCGCCCAGACGATGCTCTCGCAGAGGACAGCGCTGATCCGCGGTCATCCTCCGCGAGTGCGGCGTCTTCTGGCCTTTGGCCGAAATTCTACTAGTTTGCAGCGCTCGTGTGTCATTTGTTGTGAACTTCTCGTCTTCTTCCATGGTGTCTTGCATCGTGTGCTTGAAGGACGACTGATCAGGCAACAAGTGGCTGCGGGTTTGCCGACACGTGGAAGGCCTGTGCCGCCGCAAGCCGCAGCAGCACGACACAGATTCGGAGCACGCTCTCAACCGAGCAGCCAACAAGATCCAGGCGGAGTCGCTCGATGCTGGCGGCGGCGGCGGCCCGGGGCTGCTGGGCCGCGAGGGAGCCCATGTGCGAGATGTTCTCCGCAGAGTCCGGCGTGTTCAAAGCTTGGCTGGGCGGCGTAGAAGAGGAGCGGAAAGCTCAGGCTGACATGTTCGAGACGCTGAACCAGGAACTGGTGGTGCCATCTCAGGATACGCCATGATACGCCCATGAGCATGTTTCAAGCGGCTACCTGGGCAATGGCATTTCCGGACTAGTTTCCACGGGGCGATGGTGTGCCTTTCTTGAAGCGGGAGACTCCCATGGAAGCAGCTGAAGTTTTCCGCTACTTGCTCTTGCGAGAGGAGCTCGTCTACAGCGTGGAGGAGGCGCCGCTTCAGCTGCCTGCGCCTCGCTGGAGTCGATCCGTGCCTGGGCTGTGTAGCATGGTGGGTCACTGTAGCGCTGCTTGCTCTCATGTGGTCCCTCGATCGATTTTCTTTGTTGGTGATTATTTCAAGCTATGTAGATTGTGTTTGCTTTTGTGCTCCTGCCGGTGATGTACGACATCCACCGCAGACTTGGCCTGATGCGGTCCTCCAAAAACAAGCGTGGGGGCTTCAGCAAGCATTGCTCTGTCATCGCCTCTGTGCAGACAGAGCACTTGCTGAAAGCCATGGCTCTGCACGGGGAGCGAGCTGACATCCGGGAGCTTATTCGGTCTCCAGAGGTGGACGTCGCCTTGAAGAAGGCTTTGGCAAGCGTGCTGGCTGCGAGCGCGAACGTACTCGGCACAGAAGGGCACCGGAGTCAGATTCGGCTGCGAGGCCACGAGCTGGCTGGCACTACGGCACGTCCCATTTGTTCGTCACGCCCAACTTGGCAGTCGCACGAGCGCCCGTTTCTGCAGCTGCAGCAGCAGAACATCTCAGGCGAGGTTGAGGGCTTCGCCGAACCTGGGCTGGGGTCTTGACGAGCCAACCTTGCCCCAGGGCCCCCCAGTGGCAGTCATGCGGCGAGCCGGACCCAGTCTTGCAAGCTCGCTTCTTCCACGAGATGATGCGCCTCTTCTTCGAAGAGCTCCTGGGCACCCTGCCACCCATGGCGCGCGCCAGCTACCACGTTGGCGTCGCCAGGTCTTTTGAGGATGGCTTTGCTGCGTCCACGTTTCCTGGCTGACGACGTGGCTGCCTTTTGCGCGCCCTTGGAGACCCAAGGCAGGGGATCGCTGCACCCTCACATCCTCTGCGTGCTTTTGGGGCACGACTTGGGCGCACGACTCCGCGGCTTTCAACAGAGTGCTTCCTTATCCAGCCATTGAGAATGCCAAGCCTTTCGCGGTGGAGGCGTTCTGCCACTTCAAGAGCTGCCACCTCTTCAGCGCCTGTTGGTCGGCCGCGTGCTGATGATGACCTTGCATGTGGAATGGATGGCTCGAGCGCCTGAAAATGTGGCTCGGACTTTCACGGAAGAGAAGGACATAGTCTGGAGCCTGCCCGACGCTCAGCCGGAGGTCGCAGGCAACAAGCGAGCGGCGGGTTTCTTGGTAGAGGAAACGCCTTCGAAAGTGAAGTGCTCCTCTTGGTGTACCTAATTGCTGATTGTAGCTGAGAGACTGCGCCGCCGGACGGACGCTGTCGTGCCGAACTCCAAGGGCTGCCGGCTGAGACTTCAGCGGAGATAGTTATAGGCGCCCGGGAAAACACTGTGTTTGCATGTCATAGCTGTCATTGCACTGAGAAGAAAGGGTTGTCAGGCAGCTGCTGGAGAAGTACTGTAACCCATCACATTCATTTACATTGCACGCGACGCATCTCCATGATAAGCCGCGCTCACGGAGGAGAAGGACATGGTCTGGGGATGTCTGGGGCCTGCTCGCCGCGAAGCCGGAGGTCGCGAGCAACAAGCGAAAGTGAAGCGCTCCTCTTGTTCCAGAGTAGAGGAAACGCCTTCGAAAGTGAAGTGTTCCTCTTGCTGTAGCTGATGGCTGTTTGCAGCAGATTGCACATCACATGAGGCAAAACTTGTGCGGGAACGATCACGGGGCTGTGATGCTTTCGGGCCAGCCGTGGTCCAGTTTTCCCAGAAAATGCAAATGGAGGTTTCACAGTTTTTGCACGCTTGCGTGGCAGGCAAGCACAGAGTTGAAGGAACCCGCGTCGTACCTTTTCGCTTTCTGGCTCGAGCGGAACCGAACTTATGAAAACTCTGCAGCGATGGCGCGGCGCCCACTGGGGTTGCTGTTGCTCCTGACGGAGGTGGTGGGCCTGTCGCAGGATGCGCATTCTTTGAACCAAGACATGGCAGACCTTTGTGCGAAGGACGAAACAAATGGAGGAACCCATTCAACCTGAGAAGCCCCTTGCACCCAATACCCTCCTTGTTTAGGGTATCATGACCCTCTACTAAAAAAGAGGTGTTTACCATGGAGACCCAGGTTTTTCAAACATTTACCATCTAACACAAAGCCGGGTTTTTGGGGTAGGCGGTTCAGCCTTGTCAAGTCCCAGATAGGACTGTCGCGAGATTCCCGACCAGCGGGTGCTGTTGCAGACCCGCCAGGCTCGTACCTTCGAAAGAAAAAAAAGGTGTCGAGGCGACATTCGAGCACTTTCCTTTTTTGTGTGCTGTTTTTGTTTGCACGTGTTGTATTTAGTTGTCTATTTCAGAGGAAGAGAAAAAAGCGTCACATGCGTTGGGTGAAAAGAACAAACTGTTATGTGTATACCCCCCTACTCCAACTACCCACTTTGTCTAGGGCATTTTCTGGAAAACCAGGTTTTCAAATTAAATACGCCCTTTTGTAGTAGAGGGTCGACATGATATCCAACAAAAGGTGGGTATTGGGTGTCAAGGTATATATATATATACTCAAAAACACTGCTCGTGCTTTATCAGAAACCCAATGCACTTTCCGACCGCAGGAAAGGTCACCGGGCAAAGCGATCGCACCCCTTGTCCGAGGCGGGGCGGCTTGTGTTGGTCTGTGGGTCGACAGTTTGGGACCATGTTACTCCAAACACCATATGTTTTCTTACCTCTTAAAAACACAACTTTTCAACTTTTTGGGTAACATGGGCTATATGTCTGTAAAAGATTAACTTCCCCAGGGCTTGGAGTTTTAAGGGGTAAGCCAAACACCATATGTTTTAGTTGGTATGATGTCGACCCCTGACTAAAAACGGGGGTCACTTTTCCATGAAAGCCCAAGTTTTTGAAACAGTACGAGGAATGGAGTATTTGGAGTAGGGGGATACACTAGGTCCCCCAGCTCGGTGCCCTTTCTCACCCCTTTTTTGGTTGGGAGGGTTCCCCTACTAAAATCGACAGCAAAAAAGTTGGTACCCTTCTTCTAACCTCCAAAACTGGAGAACTTAGTGTTACTCCAGACACCATGTAACTACAAAATGATGGGTTTTCCAGCTGGTTTCCCGTAGAACCGCAAAAGATGGGAGGTACCAGCTCCAAAAGTACCCGGCCGTTTTTGATTGATATGATTTGTCGACCCTTTACTAAAAAAGGGATCGGCAGCTTTCCATGGAGTAGGGGGGTACATTTTGGCCCTTGACCCACGCAAGCAGCAAAGCAAAGATGCAAATCCTAGGGCTGAACGTAGACCACGTTCGAGCCAACAGGGCGTATGTTGCTTGTTTTTGCGCGTTTTTCTGCGCCCTTCTCACCCGGCAAGCCCGCCCATATGGTTTCGGCCACTTCACACGCACATGTTCTTCGCGCCTTGGGCGTGCCGGCCCTTGGGTCCACTTCCATTTGCTTAATAATATTTTGTTCATTTTATCCCTGTTGGTTTTAAAGGAAATCTAGGGCAAATATGTTTCTTCCAGGGGGCTTCAGCAAATGGAGGTCCATCAGCAGTTTTGCGTAGGAAAGAAGGATACTGGCATTGTGATCCTTGCGGATGGTTGGTTTCGAGCGAGCCTGGGCAGCACTGATGTTTCACAGGTTGCATCGATTTCTTGGTGGCTCCCAGCCATCCCCTGAGTGTTTTTGTTCTTTTTAGTGTTTAGTGGCAGTTTCATTTCTCCCACTAAAAGTTGAACTTTTAGCGGGGGATCTGAGGGCAGCCCAGATTTGGATGCCCTCCAAGGAAGTATCACCCGCAGATCGAGGCCGTGCAATGCTACGCCCAACGCCAAGGCGGGAAATCGGAAAATCGAATCGTTCGCTGAGCGAGCCACAGCCCCGAAACCGATTCGGGGCTGGGAGAATCTCATGGATCACACCCTCTTTCTTTAGTTGGTATGTTTTGTCGACCCTCTACTAAAAAGGGAGGTATTTACCGTGCAAAACCAGGTTTTGCAAAAAGTACCCTGAACAAGGGCCGGGTATTTGGAGTAAGGGGCAGTTGCCACCCCGGAACCACCCAAGTCCGCGCCCTTTTTTCATTCGGTATGATGTCGATCCTCCACTAAAAACAGGATTGCTATTTGCCACTGCAAAATCAGGTGGTCGCCAAAAAAAAACTAAAAAGAGGGAATTTGGAGTACGGGCCTACAAAACCAGGTAAAAAAATGTTCGGTTGACTTGGCTGAAACTGCATGTGCTAAAGCCAACGCGTGGGTTTAGTGGACACAACCCTGGCATTGGGGTATTTAACGCAGGCTGACCACCGACGCACTTGGCGAATGGAACATCCAAGCATATGGGTTTTTTGCCAACCCCCTACTCCAAATACCCACTTTTTCTGGGGCATTTTTTGGAAAACCTGGGCTTCCATGGGTGTAATGGGGACCGGTCGCCTTTGATTTGCTCACCATGGTTCTGGATGGAGGATTCGGATGGCGCGGTTCCCCGCGAATCGTCCGGCTTCCTTGGTTTGGTGGTTTCTCTTACCTCTTAAAAACACAACTTTTCAACTTTTTGGGTAACATGGGCTATATGTCTGTAAAAGATTAACTTTTTCAGGGCTTGGAGTTTTAAGGGGTAAGTTTTGGTTGGTTTCGTCGCTGGGTCTCCGAACTTCACCCGAAGTGAAGCTTCCAGCCCGGGATCTGAAAACGGACAGTACTTTAGTACCAGGTTTTGGAACAGGCTATGAATCGGAAGGATAGAGATACCCCGTAACCACCCAATACCCGCTCTTTTTTCTTTTTTTTTTCGGGTTTCAGGTCGACCCTCTACTAAAAAGGCCCAGGTTGTTCAGCATATACCTTAAAAACTTGGTATTTGGAGTAGGGGGTGGATAGATACATACATACATACATACATACATAGATAGATAGATAGATAGATAGATAGATAGATAGATAGATAGATACGTAGATAGATAGATAGATAGATAGATAGATAGATAGATAGATAGATAGATAGGTAAGTAGATAGATAGATAGATGGATAGATAGATAGATAGATAGATAGACAGGCAGTGACAAGCAGACAGATAATAGGTACACAGATAGAGAAATAGATAGATGGAAAATAATAGATAGATAAATTAGAGTAGATTAAATGATATTGTATTGGATAGGTAGGTTAGATTAGATTAGTTTAGGTTGGATAGGATGGATAGATAGATTCGATTAGGTAGATAAGGACATTAGGATTGCTTAGGTTGAGTCGGTAGATGGAATACACACATATGAAGATAGTTAGGCAGATCTGTAGATAGATAGATAGATAGATAGATAGATAGATAGATAGATAGATAGATAGATAGATAGATAGAGATAGATAGATAGATAGATAGATAGATAGATAGATAGATAGATAGATAGATAGATGGAGAGATAGATAGGTAGATGCCTGGATAGATAAATAAAAGAGAAAGAGAAGGAGAAAGAGAGAGCGAGAGAGAAAGAAACAAAGGAACAAGAGAGAGAGAAACAACACAAGAGAAAGAGCAAGAGAAAGATCAAGAGAAAGAAGGATCAAGAGAAAATGACAGAGAGAGAAAGATAATATGAAAGAGAAAGAAAGAGAAGCAGCAAGAGCAAGACAAACATAGCTTTTGCATGTTTAAACTTCCGCCCACCGGATTTAGCGTCTTTGGTAATAGGTAGGTTGAATGATCTGTTGCAAATATGCCCCCGACTCCAAATACCCGATGCCTTTTTCTAGGGTATGATTTGTCGACCCTCTAACAAAGGGATCGGTATTTACCTGGAAAAACCGAAACCGGTTTTCCAAAACGTACCCTAGAACAAGTGGGTATTTGGAGTAGGGGGTAGCTTTGTGGGAAGACCAGTTGAGCGGTACACGAAAAGTGCTTGCACGGTTTTTTTGGACTGATCCACTCAGGAGGTAAATTTCTGTGGCCCTTTAAAACCAGCAACCCCCGGCCCAACCGCCCCAAACAAAAACAAACAGAGTACCCTCAAAGTACCCTCAAAGGCGACCCTTTCTATTTCCCCGGGGGTTCTGGGCAGGCACACAGTCCCACGTCACAGGCTACGATGTGTGGCTACTCTACGGCACTGAGTTCTTGGAGTGTGAACGGCACGGAGCCCAAGGAAACAGCTGAAATAGCCGCTGCTTGGGTGTTCGGTTGATGGCAACCTGAGTTATAACCAACTTGTAGGTTCCCCCAAAGAGGAGTTCACCCTGTCATTCGTGGTTTATAGCCAACTTGGGTTATAGCCAACTTGTTTGATGGCAACCTGGGTTATAGCCAACTTGTACCTCCGTAACCTCCAAATACCCACGTGTGCAAAGCTATGATTGTTGAAGAAAGAAAAAAGGGTTTCCATGAGTAAATACCGATCCCTTTTTTAGTACAGGGTCGACATCATACCCTAAAAATTGGAGGTATTGGGTGTAAGGGGTAGGTTCCCCCAAAGTGGAGTTCACCCTGTCATTCGTAGTTTATAGCCCAGGTGGCGATCACCACTTACTAACTTGGCGAATCGAACATCCCGCGTTTCGCGCACGATGTGAAATCTGTGGAGGCTTGCAGTTCCAAAGACAAGGGCTCACGGCTGCCCCCCTACCCCAAATACCCGGCCTTTTTCTAGTTGGGATTTTTGGCAAAACCTGGGTTTCCGGGTTGACATCATACCCTAGAAAAAGAGGGTCTTTGGAGGGGTGGGCCATTCAATTCGAATCAACTTCCCTCGCGTGACAACAAAGCCGCTTGGTGTTCAACTTGATGCAAGGACCTCTCCCCAGTCACCCAGGCCAGTGCCCTCGCCCCCTTCGTTTGGAGTGAGCGCGCCCTGAGAAAAAAAAAAAAAAAACGCCCCTTGTTTTGCCATGGACATCCGCTTCCAGTTGTTGAAGATCTTTGATTTCCCTTGGCTTTGACAGAGAATCCATTTCACCACTGGACGAGAATGTTTTTTTGTCTCCGGGCGAAGCAAATGGAAGCTTGGGGCGCAGGCCAATGAAACCCGCTGGGTTCAATTGGAGCTCGGAATCCCAGTAGATTATTTGTTTTTTTTGGGGGGTGTTACGCCCCCTTTGTCTTGCTTGGGTTGTTGTTTGTGTTTTTTGGGTTGTTGTTTGTTTGTTTTTTTTGTAAACGTTCCTTTGTCTTGATAACTTTTTTGGTGGGGGGAGTTAGGGTTCCCGGCTCGATTCGCTTCGCAGGTTCTTCAAGGAGGACGACTTCTTCTTTCTGAAGCATTGCGCCGTGGCCGCGCTGTTGGAGCAGCGAGGTGCAGAGCAGCCGGGCTGCAAGTGGCCTGCTTCCAACCCCCGTAACCTCCACATGCCCACGTTGTTTAAAGGTATTTATTGAAGAACCGATCGGTTTTCCATGCTAAATACCTCCAAAACCTCATTTTTGGGGGGTATGATGTCGACCCTCCACTAAAAAAAGGAGGTATTTACCATGGAAACCCCGGTTTTGTACAACTTGTTCTAGGGTAGTTGTCCAAAACCTGGGCTTCCATGCGTATTTGGAGGGGGTTTGCGGACATGCGTCGAGGGTCAAGCAAATCGCAGCTTTTTCTTCGAATCTCAGTGGATCCCAGCCCAGCTGCAAAGCCACCTGGGACCCCATATGGCCGTTTTTTTTTTTTGGTCATACGCCTTTGACCGAAAAACATGGCCATACAGTTTTTTACGGTCTTTTTTCAACAACATGTCGAAGAATATGGGTTTCATACGGGTGATTTACGCAAATGACCGAAAAATCATGGCCATACGGGCAAATACGGCCAAATACGGGAGTTTGACCGAAAAAAAAAAACAGCCATACGTGCCAGGCATGTTTTAGGTGACCAGCTGGTTTTCTTCTGGTTTTGAAAGGGTGGCAAGGTTTTGGTGACCTACCCCCTACTCCAAATACCCACTTTTTTTCTAGGGTATGTTTGCAAGGTAAATACTTCCTTTTTGAGCGAAGGGTCCACATCATACCCTAAAAAAACTTGGTATTTGGAGTAGGGGGTAGCTTTACCAGGCAACCAGAAAAACATATTTCTGGACTCTAAAGCCTCACTTTTTGTGGCTTCAATCTATTCGTGGCGTTGGGGCCTCTGAATGGCAACCACGCCCCTACTCCAAGTACCCACTGTGTCTAGGTTAAACGGATCGGTTTTTCATGGAAGCCAAAAGGAAGCCAACGAGTCATGGAAATGTACCCCCTACTCCAAATACCCGTTGTTTTATGGTATTGTTGGGAAAACCGGTTTCGGTTTTTCCATGGTAAATACCGATCCCTTCGTCAGAGGGTTGACAAGTCATAGCCCAGAAAAAGGCAGAGGGTATTGGGTACGTGTAAAGGGCAGCCCGAGGTACACCGTGGCAGTCATCGATGCGGACGTCGTGCCCGTGGTCTTGGATCGCAGCTTGGACGCCTGGATGAATGGCGGCGACCTGGCATTCTACGAGCGCCCCTCGGATGTAGAAATTGGGCAAAGGGTTCTCAGCAGGGAATGAGAAATGGAGTCTCTGGTTTACAAGATCCCCGAGGAAAGACCTTTCAGGGGCTTGCCCCTGTTCATTCCCAAAAGCCGGAAGAGAAACTCCCTACTGAGCACCAGCAAGACAAAACCTGAACATAATCATACCCGGATCCGTCTACCAGGGAAAGGTAGGCAACCCAGGGCGGGAACCACTCGATATAAACACAAAGGATAATTTAATCAAAAGGCTTACCTATCCCCTACTCCAAATACCCACTTTTTTTAGTTGGTATTTTTGGAAACCTGGTTTTCCATGGCAAATACCTCCCTTTTTAGTAGAGGGTCGAATGAGAAGTGGAATCTCTGGTTTGAAAAATCCCCGATGAGGAAAGACCTTTAAGGGAAGCCCCTTCCGGTTCATTCCCAAAACCCGTACGAGAAACTGCCAACTGAGAACCAGCAAGTCGAAACCTGAACATAATCATACGATCCATCTACCTGGGAAAGGTAGGCAACCAGGGCGGGAACCACTCGATATTAACACCGAAAGGATAATTTGATCAAAAGGCTTACCTGGAGTCTCCATGACCCTTTAAAAATCGGGTCATGACCCCTTTATTTTGGGTAGCGACCCCATCTTTTAAGGGTCATGGAGACTCCAGGTACCTATATGGGTTTGCCAGGGATCCGTTAGGAGAAGACTCTGTGTTGAAAGCTAGGCAGCTCGCAGGCTCGGATCGAGCGAGTCGACTAGGCTGAAAGTCGCCGCAGCTGGCATTGGGTGTGTGCCTACCCCCGACTCCAAATACCACTTTTTTTAGGGTATCATGTCGACCCTCTACTGAAGAAGGAGGTATTTACCTTGAAAAACCATGTTTTCCAAAAAAATCCTAGAAAAAAATGGTATTTGGAGTAGGGGGTAGGTTGGAAGGAAGCCAATTTAAGGAGGGACAGAAAATCCCAATGGTTCGCTCTCGAGGGAGCGAGCCTGTTGGAGCTACCGATCGGAAACATCCTGGATCCTCAAACTACCCTTTCAAAATTGGTTGTTGCCCAAGAAAGGTAGACGGATCTTTGCCCCAGTAACCTCCAAATACCCGGCCTTTTTTTCAGGGTATGTTTTGTCGACCCTCTTGGGTAATTGGTGATTGCTACTCTTGAAAATTGGTGAGTTCCCGTGGATGGTAGAAGTTGCCAGCTCCATTTTTTGGAGTTTTCTGCTGAGGAATGGAGGGCGACGAGGTGACGGCCGGCTTCTGCCTCAGGGCGAGTTGCTTTCCGATGAGGTTCTCTCTTTTGGGGCTTGGACCATGTCCCTGTTGCCCAGTGGCATCTTAGACTTTAGCCAAAAAAAACGGAACTGACATCCAATGAGCCTCTCTTTTCAGGGTTGGACAATTTCAATAAGAAACTAGGTCCCCCCCAGTAGTGCCCTTTTACCCTTTTTTGGTTGGGAGGGTTCCCCTACTAAAATAGACAAAACCGAAAAACAATCGGGTACCAACTTATTCTAACCTCCAAAACTGGAGGACCTAGCTATAAACTCCCCTCTATGTTTTGTTTTAAAGGGAATCCCGTCATTCCCAACACTCTGGATTCAATCACACTGAGCGCACACTTCTGAAAATCAATCACAAGGCTCATCCCTTGTCATAGCAATGCAATGGGGGGGGCGGGGGTTTGGGGACAACATGTTTGGGGATGTTGGCTCAGATATTTGGCTTGGGGATGTTTGGGGATGTTGGCGAGCACTGTGAGCTGAGGCAACTACATTGCCAAGAACAAGCCCTGGGTACGAGACTTCCTCCGAGCCTGGGCCACTCGGCCCGGCCCTTTCACGGCTGGCTGGCTCTTTTCGGAACCACTCCTTGGTAAGCGGAATCCAAAACGAAAGCTGAAGAGCTTAGGGATCCGACTAGACATGAAGCGGAAAACAAAAAACGGAGGAAAAAGCGGAAAACAAAAAAAACGGAGGAAAAAGAAAGCAAGGTGACCCCTAATATTTTGTTGGACCCGAATTAAATATGAGGGGGTTCCTGAACCCCCCGCCGGAAAGCCTCAAATTTCATGAGGTCCTCTTGGGCTCCTAGATAAAACCGGCACTCCCGGAAAATGCAAACAAACAATATTAATATTTGTTTAAAAAAAAAGAAGAAGAAAAAACAGTTGTTTTTTTGGGTGAGCCAAAACCATTTCGAGGGATGCCTCAAAATGAAGAACGAATCCAGGTCCCCCAGGGCCCCAGTAGTGCCCTTTTACCAAGGGTTCCCTTACGACTACCGAAAAAAGTTGGTACCCTTATTTCTATGCTCCAAAACTGGAGGACCTAGCGAAAAAACATGTCACAAAAGTTGAGTCGAGTGACTGGACCGCCAGGCGAAGATGCGTGATCGCCAGCCCTCGGGCTTTAGTAGCTGGGACAATGGGGCGCTGCACGTGGTGCTGGTGGAGACGCTGGAGGCCAGGCCGTAGCCACCAACGCCCTTCTTTCGGGTAGTTTACCCCCGGATGGTAAGCAACACAATGGTGGTTTGTGTCCCTGGGTGATTTTAAAGGAAATCGATCACTGCTGGAAATATACCCCCTTCTCCAAATGCCCACTTTTTTCTAGTTGGTATTTGTTTTAAAAAACCGATCGGTTTTTCAAAGTAAATATCGATCCCTTTTTTAGTAGAGGGTCGACATGATACCCTAAAAGAAGTGGGCATTGGGTGTAAGGGGTAGGGTGGTTCCCAGCGAATCCTCCGGCTCTGAAAGCTTTTTGCAGGTGGTGTTGAAAGGGAGGCGAAAAGGACAACTGCAATATATTTATGCATTTAAGTTTTCTATTCGATCAGCTATAGTTGGTCAGTTACTCAGTTAGTTAGTTTAGTTAGTTAGTTGGTTAGTCATTTGTTTGTTTCTTGTTTCGCAGGGGGAGGGGAAGTAACTTTAAATAGAACGCCCATGTGGGTGTCTCACTTGCCAAGCGAATGGACCTGAACTGACCTTACACGGTTTCCCCGTTTTCTCATGTTTGGTGGACGCAAAAATTCGGCAACTGAGGCGTGCCGTTTCATCTTCCGTCGACGAAAACCGGTGCCGTTTAAAGGGCAACCAAACGAAAAGCGCGTGGCGAAAAGGTCTTGTACCGGCCCGAAACCTGAATGGTTTTGTGCGTGTCTGTGTGTGTGTCTGTTAGTTGGTCCCTGCATCTGTGTGTCTGCATGTGTCTCTGTGTCAGTGTGTCTGCGTGTGTCCGTGTGTGTGTGTGTGTGTGTGTCCGTGCGTGTTTGTTTGTTTGTTTGTTTGTTTGTTTGTTTGTTTGTTTGTTTGTTTGTTTGTTTGTTTGTTTGTTTGTTTGTTTGGTCGGTTGGTTGCTTGGGTGTGTTTGGTTGGTTGGTTGCTTTGTTTGTTTTGGTTGTTTACCCCCTACTCCAAATACCCCCTTGTTTTCGGGTATAATATTAACTCTCTACTAAAAAAGGGATCGGTATTTAGCATGGAAACCCAGGAGTTTTTTCACAAAATAGCCTATAGAACGTGGGTATTTGGAGTAGGGGGGGTATGCTCCAAGTGGGTGTTTCTGAGAGCCTGTTTGTCTCTGTGTGTCTCTGTGTGGCCCTGCGTGTCTCTGTTTGTTTGTGTTTGTGTGTCTCTATGTGTTTCTGTGTGTGTGTGTTTGTTTGTTTGGTTGGGTTTGTTTGGTTGGTTGGTTGCTTTGTTTGTTTGTTTATTTGTTGGACACCCAGGGTTTTTTCACACAATCGCCCAGAAAAAGTGGGTATGTGTTGCTTTTCTTTGACTTCCCGCTTGATCGCCCAACCGCCCAGGTCCCAGGGAAGGAAAAGGTCGCGGAGCTCTACGCAAATTTGACGGAGGACGTCACGGCGGAGCACTTGGACCTCTACTGGCACTTTGTGCAGGACTGGGGCGGTAAACCCCATTTACCCTCTAAACCAGGGCATCAAATGGCCGTGGCTCAAAAAACCGGAATCCAAAATGGCTTGCCCTGGTAAGTGGAAACGTGGACCAAAACCTGCGTAACCCCTACTGTTTAATTTTGAGCCACACCCAAATCCCCAAACCTCTACTACAAAGGGAGGTATCTACTCTTCTAAGGGTTGATTCCTTGTCCATTCCGGCCTTTTTTATCGTATAGTTGAAAAAACCTGGGTTTCCATGGTAAATACCTCCTTCTTTTAGTACGGGTGGATTTCCATCCATCGTTCTTTTCGAAAACCGGATCCGTTTTGTTGGGTTTCCGGAGGTTTTCTAGAAAGAAGGATCCCTGGAAAGAATGAGGAAGGTAGCACTACAACTGTACCCCCGAAATGCTTTCACTCCAAAGCAACACACCTAGGTGCCCTTGGAGCCTTTGTTTGGGGAGGGTTCCCCTAGTAAAATAGACTACAGTTAACCTCTCTACTGGAGGACCTAGACACACACACACATGTGCGTAAGCACTTTGGCAAATCCAGTGCGAGAAAAAGAACCAAAGACGCTCACTTCCACTTTGTTGATTTAAGCCAACTTTTTTAACCACAGGCAATGACAGCTTCGACTTGACCCTGAACAAGCAAATCCTTCAACTTACCCAGGCCCAGGTGAGAGATCCCCACCCCCTCTAGGTCCCCCAGTGCCCGTTTACCCACTTTCTTTGGGGAGGGTTCCCTACTAAAAATAGACAGACGAAAGGGTGCCCTTATTGGGTACCCTTATTGGGGATTTCGAGCCCTGGAATTGCATTTAGGCTTCCATTTTCCCTTTGCTGGGGAAGACTGAATAAATGGAGTTGTGGGACCCTCCCACCCGCCTTGGGTACCTCCCCTCGAAAGCTCCAAAGACCAGTTTTGCATTTTTTTGGGGTATGATTTGTCGACCCTCTACTAAAAAAGGGATCGGTATTTACCTTGGAAAACCGAAACCGGTTTTCCAAAAAATACCCTTAAAAAAGCGTAATAACAGGGTTTCCAAAAAAATACCCTTAAACAAATACCAGGTTTTCCAAAAAATAACCAGGTATTTGGAGTACGGGTAAAGCGTGCCGAGTCCGCCAGGAGGCAGTCCGGGCTCTGGGCCCCCCGCGGAAGTGGAGCCTGGACCAGACGTCTCTGGGCCGGGCGCATCACTGCCGCGGCTGCCGGCTGTCCATCTGGCCGCGCAGCTTGGCTGCTACCCTAAAAAAAACAGAAAAAGAAAAACACGGTTTTCCAAAGAATACTCCAAACAAACAGGGTATGAACCTCTAGTTTATGGGTGATTCTTACCCCGTAACCTCCAAATACCCGCTTTTGTAGCCTATTTCTTGGAAAACCGATCGGTTTTTCAGTGTAAATACCTCCATGATACCAACCAAAAAGAAGGAGGGTATTGGGTACCCCCTACTCCAAGCACCCGGCCTTTTGTTAGTTGGTATTTTTGGGAAAACCAAACGGTGTTCCATGGTAAATACCTCCTTTTTTAGTTGAGTGGGTCGACAAATCATACCCTAAAAAAAGAGTTGGTATTTGGAGTAGGGGGTAGCTCCCCTTCTTGTTTTCCACCAACCAGGCAAACAAGTTGTTTTGCTGGGGTCCTGATTCCAGCCTAGACTAAACCCCCCAAAAAGTGATTCGCTTTCTGCAGGGGGGTCGGTCAACAGCAACCAAGGCATGAGCTTCTTCGTGGACGATGGCGTCTACCTTCAAAGGCCCCGGAATTCCGTTTGCTTAAGAGCAACTCTTTGGCCTCCAGGCATTCTTGGATCGATTTACCAACCAGTTTTGTAGGCAACCTTCATTTGCTTAACCTCCATTTACATTAGAATATGTGTTATTTTCCCATGTTGGTTTAAGGAATTTATCACTACTGTTGCTTTTTTCCCCGGGGGGTCTTGACCAAATGGAAGTTTCGCTTTCAGCTGCATTGCGGCTGAGGCAAAGAACCGCTCCTCGAATCACGCCATCGCTCTGAATTCAGGCAAGACAAAGGTTCTTCCAGACTTGCCAACCCCATTCAAATGCTGGAAAAAACGCCCCTGCAAGTGCAGAAACCCCTCTTTTCAAGGCGGTCAAAAATCGATGCTAGTTCCCCCAGTAGCGCCCTTTCTCACCCCTTTTTGGGGTAGGCTTCCCCTACTACAATAGACAAAACCGAAAAGCAAGAAGTGTGTACCATAAACCCCAACCTCTCTACTCTACCCCCGCAAAAAAAAATGGTGCCCTTCTTCCAACCGCTCCGGAGGACCAAGATCTCTGCGCCCGAAAACTCCCGATCGCCTTCGTCGCAGGCCCTTCTAAGCACTCTCTGGACTTAGAATACCCTTGGGTTAAGCTACCCTTAAGATGAGCACCGGCCATGTTCCTCACGACTCGCGCCGAAGGCTCTTTCCCCCTTTGCCACGCGCAAACCCCCAAACCCCCAAACCCCCAAACCCCCCAGCCCTCTCTCCAACAAGAAAGCTAGCCTTCCGTATATCTCTTCCATACTGGAATAGGCTGCCAAAAAAAAGAATCGGGCGTTCCCATCTTCGCAGGCCAACCCCCCGCCCCACCCCAGAACCCCAAGAACCGCAAACCCCCCCAAACCCCCATAAACCCCCAATACACCCCCCTAAACCCCCCAAACCCCCCAGAAATCCCCAGAACTTCACCCCAAGAAGCCGCAGGCACTCCAGCTCCCTGGGCCCGGTGATGCACCACGGCGTCAAGACCCAGGAGGAGCTTCGCCGCGCCAAAGACGGGGAGGGAGTTCCTGGAGCCCCAAATGGTCAAAAAGGCTTTTGCCCCAAAAAATGGTCATACGGCCAAATGACCGGTTGCTTCGGTGTGTTTTCAAGATGTTTTCGATAAAATACGGGTTTTATACGGCCAAATTCGGGCAAATGAGGCAAATGGCCGGAAACAAAAACTTGGCCATACGGGCAAAAACCGGGCCACATACGCCTCTTGACCGGAAAAAAGCGGCCGTTCGGGGTTCCAAAGGCCTTTTAGCCTGGTGCCAACTCAGGGATGTTCCGTAGTAGACCACTAGCTGTGAGTCACTTTTAGCAGGGCTTCGCAGATTTCGCAACCGAGAGGACGTGGCAGCCTACTTCGCGGAGCCCGGCGCGGGAGACCCCGCCTCCTGCCGGCTGCGGAGCCAGGTGCGGGTGGACGCGGAGCGGCTCGGGAAGGCGGGAGGACAGGGCTCGGGTTGGCTTTTTTGTTGTTCCGTTCGCTGAAATGAAGGGGACATGTTTGTTGTCCATGTTTTCCATGTTCCTTTTTTTTGTTTTCTGTCATTTTTTAATTTTCCCTTGTTGGTTTTAAACGGAATCTATGACTGCTGGAAATATGTTTATATTTGTTCTTCCCAGGGTTCCACGTTTTGAGTACCCCAAGATAGACAGGGGTTTCTCTTTGGTGGGAATGAGCCACCCTTGGTTTAAGTCCACCCTGGGGTAGTCAAAAAGTAGAACCCAGTTTCTTCCATTTGCTGAAATGAATATTTAGGATTTTCCCTTGTTGGTTTTATAGGGAATCTATGACTACCGGAATTGTTCATTTGTTCCAGGGGGCTTAAGCAAATGGAAGTGTTGGTTTCACCGAAGCTCCAAATTGAAGGAGTGGTTTTAAAGGGAACAAGAAAGGGGCCTTTAAAGGAAAACGAACAGGAAAACAGCAGGCACCCTCCCACAAATGCTATGTTAGTGGGAGGAAGTGTACTTGTTTTGATCGGGAGTATTTTCTGGCTTAAATTGCTGATGTTGCTCCATTGTTTTCTTGATCCCAAAGTGCAAAACCGTCCAGAAAATCAAACATGTTGCTTGGTCCGCAAAGTTAAGCAGGCTAACGAACGGAGAAATACAAAAACAAATAAAACAGAAGTGCCAAACCGCGGTCTACGTCCTGCTCTTGTTCTTACATGGTTAAAACGAAGCAGCAAGCAATCGGCACATTTACTGTATCTATACATTGCATGTCATTGGCCGCAGGCGGCTTTTTGTCTATGCGCCTGTTTTATCAACGCTGCAGTCAGGCACAAACATTATTCTGCTTTGCTCTGCGTTGCCATCCATCACGCCGCCGATCCCTTGAGTGAATCGTTATCTAAAACATCACGAAACCCAAATCTTCTTGCGAGAATTTCAGCCCAGTGATGTCGTTGGGGGATTGAATGCTCATGTCGGCTCAGATCGACACCTCAGGACCAACATGCCTTTCTCCGATGAAATAAGCCATGCCTCCTGCATTGGTGGGAACACCTAGGTGCGCATGTGGGAGATGCGGGAGATGCGGTATGCCCGTCCTTGGGCAACTGCGTGCTGGTGCTTATGTTGTAAACATCCTGTGTTAATGGCAGCGTTTAACACTGAATCTTGCATGCCTCTCTGACTGCTCAAGTTCCATAATGTTTGTATGACCAAGTGAGGCGTTTCTGCTTCAACTGGTGAACAGCGGACGTGCCGGTGAACAACGTCAACACAAATGTGGGGGCAGCATGAGACCTGGGCGTCTTGCGAATGCTGCAGTTCTCTTTTCGCAACCTGCATTTGGAAATCAAGCACACAAGCATCACAAAAGTAGCTGCAGTATGAATGGTGCAGCTTCTGAACAAAACGATGCTGCAAGTCTTCAAACTGAATGTTGACCCCGGAAGAACAATCCCGTCCCAGTAATAGTAATAGGGGATTCCTCCCCCCAAGAAAATAAAATGGACTCCCGCGAAAAGGCGGCCCCCTAAGAAGCAACCAGGGCTTCATTAGTCCGAGGTTCCCATTTTAAATTTGTGTTGGCAACGTGTGGAGGGCTTGTGCGCCGGTGTCTTCCGTGCCTTTTGCGCCTCTCTTGTCTCATGCCCGAGATTCTAGGCAAAATCCTTTAATGGGCCCTTGTGAATGGAGCCTTAATTTGTCCCACTTGCATACCCCCTACTTACCCCTTTACACACACGATGGGCACAGCTGAGACCCGAATTGCCTGTATAGGGGCTTGTGTTTCTATTTCTTGCGCTGATGTCAACCAGAATTAAGCCATAAACAACGGTGAAATAACCCATAAACTACGGCGTATACGTTCAGCCTTTGAGGTCCCTTGAGGCGTAGGTTTGAATCCTACTCCCGCTCAAAACTATTATTACTTATTATCATTAGTATCATCATTATTATTATTCAGGTGACTTGTTGGTGCGTGATCTCTATGACTCCAGGTGGCACTGCATGTGGCCGCTCCTTGGCTTGCACAGAGAGAGGCAATTCGCAGATCGCCGCAAGAAAAACATGGTTGTTGTTGGGAAAGATTTTGCTTTACATTTTTGCTTATTGTGGTTTAGTGGTTGATGTCCCCATGCTCCACTTCCAACGTCAACCAAGAAAAAATCTCGCCGCCGCGTGAACCCGTGCTGAGGCGTCATACCCCCAGTGGTATCTGCAGGGGAACTGCTCGCAATGTGCTGGCCATTGCGCCCGGGCCTTGGACATTTCTGCCATTTGGTCACCCAGCAATTGGTGCCCGACCTCTCACCGTTTCCTTTTTGGTTGGGAGAAGGTTCCCCTACTAAAATAGACTACAGCAAAAAGTTGGTACCCTTCTTCTAACCTCTCTACTGGAGGACCTACTTGGACATTGGGAAGTCATAGGACTGACCTCCTGGTTGGGGGGGGAGGATGTTTTACGATTTCCGAGATCCCAGTTGCCCAGGGCCTTTTCTTTTGGGTTTTGGGTTCCGATTCCTTGAAAGCTCACCAACCGATTCCCTCTTTTTGGGAAGGGTTCCCCTTGAAAGTCAACCAACCCAAAAAAGACTGGAATTGGTTCATTGACCCTTTGAAGTCCCTTTTAAACTCAACCGATTCTCTTTTTTTCCCCATGGAATTCCACTGGTGGGCATCTGAGAGAAGCATTTTGTGGGCTGCGTCCATGAGACAACTGGCAACGGGGCAACCAAAAGGAATGCCCGGTTCTCCCCACACCACAATTCCCCCCCAAAAAAAAAGAAAACACAAATGAAGCCCAAGAGAAAGGGAACCCAAGGACCAGAAATACCACATGTTTTGTTGTTTTTATTATTGTTATGTCATTTCATTTTATGTTGGAGGGGATCCGTTGGCTAAACAGATACCCATTTGCTAGCTTGTATAGGCTGAAGCCCAGGAAGCAGTGCCATATATGTGTCTGTTTCTTTTTCGGAGTGCCCCTTTTCTGCTTCAGGGACACCAAAAGGAAAACCACCATTTTGAGGTGGTCCCGTATTCGCCTTTTGACATCATTTGGGGATTTATGCCACTGGATGATAGGTGGTCCCCAAGGCAAGGCAAGGCAAACCACCCATTTTGAGGTTGTCAAAACAGGGACACACAGAAGATCAAACCTCACGTGAAACGGAGTTCCGGGGGAGAAGGTCTGCGGGAGCAAGCAGTTGTAAGTGGGCGCTCTGCGGGATTGAGGATGCATCTGGAAATTAGTTGAAGTCTTAATTGATCCGGAACTGAAATCAAATGATTTTGTGCGGGAAAACGGTTCAGCCGAGCGTGCTGTACTAATTAAACGTGGTCGCCTTTGGACATCATTTGGGAATGTATGTCTACTGGAAGTGGTTCCATATTGAATTTCACGAACTTGTTCTGTTCCACTCTCAGCCGCTTGCATATCTTTGAGATTTCTCAGCCTGGAATGCGGCAAACGCCCCGTGTTCGGCCAGTGAAAACCAGTTGCCATGTTAGCCGGAGCGAGTCCCATTTCGAGACACCCAGTTGCCCAAAGCCGACCTTCTCACCTTGTAGTTTTTCCCTGTTGGTCCGTTTTTAGCTGGGTCCTTTTGGGCAACTCAGTTGAGAAACACCCGGTGTTTATGTGGGTCGCCCTCTTTGCAAGGTGTTGAAGGGAAGCGGAAGCTGAAAGTAAGACCACCCAATTTGTTGAACTTATTGGTCTGGAAAACGGGTCGGATATGTTGTGTTTTTTTCCTCCAGATTTCACCGCTGTTTTTGTTTTCCCCCTGCAGGTGTTCTTTTGTTTGCACTCTTTTACTCTATTCATTTCCCGCTTCGCCCGCCCTCCGCGTCTCGCAGCGGCAAGCTGAGGTCGCCAACTTCAGCTGCCAGCCGCTGGACATGGACATCTAGCGACCAAAAAGTTGCGGCCGCCCGCACCGGAGATTCACTGGAAATACCCCGAGGGCTCAGCTACCACCATTTGGTGGCTCCCAGCCATCCCATTAAAAGTGGTTCCATGGGGGTGTGAAAGTTCAGCTACTCAGTGGTTCAGTGGCACCGAGTCCAATTCTTTTTCCAACTTTTTTTTGGGTGGCTGCCCCACTAAAAATGGTCCAAGCCCAAAAAAGGGTTCCCTTTTTTTCCAGGGTCACTGAACAACTGAGGCTACCACCATTAAACGTGGTGGCTCCCAGCCATCCCATTAAAAGTGGTTCCATGGGGGTGTTCGCTGCTTTTTAGTGGGAGATGAAGCTGCTTTTTAGTTTCTGCAGTTTTTTAGCCCTTTAGTGTTTAGTGGTAGTTTCCGAATTTAACCCGCTAAAAGTTAGTCACTTTTAGCGGGGTATCTGAGGACAGCCCAGCAACCACAATTAAGATTGGCACCGGCGAGAGGCCCTAAAACGCACCTCAATCTAGCACCGGGCCTTTAATTACACTTACCGTAAGAACCCCTTAGTGTGAGCACACTGTTTGGGGAAACAAAGGAGGTTCATGCGACCACCATGCTGTACCTCAGGATTTTCATCCAGATTGGGCCAACCATGCTTTTAAAGGGGGGTTGAAAGCTAGGGAATACGTTGCAAAGTTTAGGGGCGAAATGTGGGTGGCTCGTCTTTGTTTTGAATGTACCCGCCCATACCCTTTTTGGGGTTGGTTTAAAGGGATACCAAAAGGAGTGGTCGTTTTAGGGTGGTTCTGCTCTTTTGTGCAGAGCCGAAATTCGGGTGGCTTTTCTTGAGGCTCGGCACCCCATATCAAGGTAGGTGTCGAAGGGAAAACAAATTGTTTTCGGGAGGGGGAGGGGGAGTCCCTTACAAAAAGACATACCCGTATGGACCAAATCAGGGAAACCAAAAAGTTAGAAGGTTGATTCGCTTTCAAGTGTCTTTGAGGGTACTCTTTTAGGGGATGGTTTCAAAAGACACACCCAAATATGGAACAGAGTCAGAAAAGATGATGTTCTGTGTACCCCCGTTTTTGTGTGCCAAGTGAGTGGGTTCAGCGAAGCAAGTAGTTCGCCCAACTGGCCCTTCAACATTTCGCGGGCCAATTAGGGGATCCTAGATAAACCACAACAAGGGACCCTGCATCTCACTTGACGAAACCCGACCCTGACTTGACCTTTTGGTGTTTCCATGGAACGGTTCATGTGTAGTTGTTTTGGGCTCGAAAAGGCGATCACCGTGATCTATGTCCGATTCGCCTCACTAGCGAATTTGAAGCTTTTGAAGCCTTTGGTTTCCCTTTTTGGTTTGTGTGCAAGCTGGGCCACTGAGAGGCCCAAAAGCTTGGGGCCCAGGTTGTAGCCTGGTTGGTCAAGGAGAAGCCTCCAAGGAACAGCATGATGGGAGTTCTCCACTTCATTCTTCTTGGATCATGTTTTGTTTCTCTTTTTTTCGGGTTGGTGTTGTTGTTTGTTGGTTCTGTTCATTTTGAGCTTTGGGGGGGCTGAAACATAGTCAGCTTTTTGTAAGCCCGTCCTGTGAAGTAAGGAGAAGAAGAAGCCTCCACACAAGGAACAGCATGGGACCAAATCCTTGATTTGGGAGTTTGACTCGACACGAGTCGATTCCTCGACAGAAACCTTCCCCCAAACATCCGCGACCTGTGGGCATGCGAAAAGAAATGCACACCCTCTTGACCTGTGTCAATTTTACACCAGTGGGCCACCGGTGTCTCGCAAAACGGGACCGCCCCCATTTCACAGCCTCCGCAGGGCCTCCTTGTCTGGGTGTGGGTCAAAATCAAACAACCAGGAATCGGACCGCAGGTTTTAGTCCATGTTTCCACTTCCCGGGGCAAGCCATTTTGGGTATCTATTTTTGACCCTGTTTAAAGGTATCTTGTGCAAAACCTGGGTCTCCATAGTAAATACCCCTTTTTGTTTAACAGAGGGTCCACAAATCATAGCCCCCAAAAAAAAGAGGCATCGGAGAAAAACAAAAAAAAACTGGGGCCAAAAAAACACCGTGCAGCGTGGAGGCCGTGTCGCAAAAAAAAACAAAAGAGAAGCCGCGGCGCGTGGCTCCAGCGGACAACCGAACCGCTCGACCCGTCGACTCGACTCGACTCGACGGAACTCTCGGCATGCGCCTGGCGTGGCTGCTGACGGAGCTGCTGGGCATCTGGGCGCAGGATTTCGCTTGGAACCCCCGGAAGCTCCAAATACCCGATGCCTTTCTGTAGCATATTCTCAGTTGTCCAGTGGCACCATTTTTCCAACTTTTTTTAGGTGGCTGCCCCACTAAAATGGTCCAAGCCCAAAAACGGATTCCCTTGTTTTTCCAGGGGCACTGAACAACTGAGTATTTCTCGGAAAACCGGTTTCGGTTTTTCAGTGTAAATACCTCCATGATACCAACCGAAAAGAAGGAGGGTATTGGGTACCCCCGCAAGTTCCAAAGACCCGATGCCTTTTTCTAGTTGGTTTTTTTTTTGAGAAAACCGGTTTCGGTTTTTCAAGGTAAATGCCTCCTTTTTTGGCAGTTAAGTCGTTGGATTCAACCACTAAACCACAATAAGCAAAAATGCAATTGCTTCCCAACAACAACCATGCTTTTCTTGCGCCGATCTGCCAAAGTTGCCTCTCAACCACAAAAAGAAGGAGGGTATTGGGTACCCCCTACTCCAAACATTCTTCCCCAGAATTAGCTCCCCTTTTTGCTTTCTTGCTTTTTTGGGGTCCCTTTGTTTTCCACTAACCAGGCAAACTAGACAAATACAGTTAAGTGGTTGGAAGGGGAGCAAAAAATATCTAAATTTTAGCAGTTAAGTGGTTGGATTCAACCACCAAACCACAATAAGCAAAAATGTAACATGTTTCCCAACAACAATCTGATCGGAGAAAGGCATCTCCAAATACCTGGCCTTTGTCTAGTTGGAGTTTTTTGAGAGAACCAATCGGTTTTTCAAGGTAAATGCCTCCTTTTTTACTAGAGGGTTGGTGTTTTTTGGAAAACCGGTTTCTTCCCATTCGGGTAGATGATCCGGCTAAGGGACAATACCAACCAGAAATGAAGGTGCAGACATCCGCCTTGTCAATTCTTTACATGGCTCTGGGTAGACCATTTTGGTGTTTTATTGAAAACCGGTTTCGGTTGTTCAAGGTTAATGCCTCCTTCTTTTTTGTTGACGTTCGACATGAAAAGTGGGTATTTGGAGTCGGGGGGAGACTTCCATAGACATGGCAGGTGTGTTGGTGTGACCAAATCGCCCCAAAAGGACATGTTTAGGAAGCAAAGGGCGTTGCGATACAAAAAAAACGCAAACCTTGAACCCCGGAAGAGCCAACCCAGGTTGCACAACGCAAATTTCAAATGGTAACTTCGGACAAATGAAGCCCTGGCGGTTTTTTAGGTGCCATTTTTTTGTTCCACCAGTTTTCTTTTGGGCGCCCTGATAGCTTTTTGGGTGCCCAAATATGTTTCCACCAGACTTTTGTCAGGCGCCCTGGTGTTTTTTAAGGTGCCAAAATATGTTTCCGCCATACACTTTTGTTTTTTTAAGGCGCCCTGGAGTTGTTTTTTTCTAGGCCTTGATTCCCCATTATTTTCAACCATTGTTCTTTTCAAACACCGGCTGTTTCCCCTGGGTTTTTGATGGTTGAAAAGGTTTGGATCCCTGGGTTTAGAAAGGAAATGGAAGGTACCCCTAGATTTTTGGGCGCCCTGGTGATTTTTCAGGTGCCATGTTTTTCCCCGCCAGACGGTTTTTGGTTTTGTTTCGGCGGGTCTGGTGGGTTTTTGGGGTGCCAGCTTGCAGGACTGCCAGAAATTCGACCAGCAGGCGCTCTTGCAGACCCGGTCGCCTGGCAAAGTCCTGGCACCTGATGTCTCAGGCGGGTCCAGAAGCTGGTCCCTAAGCTTCCGCTTGAGATGGGTTCCACGGTTTGGGACCATCGCCCCAGTTTTTTTTGTTGCTAGGTCCCCCAGTAGTGTCCTTTCTCACCCGTTTTTTGGGGAGGGTTCCCCTACTAAAGTAGACTACAGCAAAAAGGGTACCCTTATTCTAACCTCTCCACTGGAGGACCTAGCAACCGGTTTGGGACCATAGTCCCAGGTTTCCCCCTACTCCAAACACCCGGCCTTTTTTAGGGTATGATTCGTCGACATTCTTTGCTAAAAAAAAAGGATCGGTATTTACTATCAAAACCCGAACGTTTCTTTTGCAAGAATACCCCTAAAACAACGCGGGTATTTGGAGGTTACGGGTGTTTAAAAAAAAAAAGAAGAAGAAGAAGAAACAAAATGGTATCAGGTCGACCCTTTAAAGCAGGCGGTAAGATTCCATGGGAACCTGATCGGCGGTTCAAATGAAAATTCCGGGGGCGGGGGGGGGGGGGGGGGTTGGGTAGGGGGTACATCTTTGCCCTTGGCAAAAGCAATGAGCAAAGAAAATCCTCGCTGGCGCGATCGGTAGGGAATGGAAACCATAAGGGATGCCTGGCACCCCGTATGGCTGTTTCTTTCAGTCAAACTCCCGTAGTTGGCCGTATTTGCCCGTATGGCCGTTTTTTTTCGGTCAAAGGCGTATGACCTAACAAAAAAAAGGCCATATGGGGTCCCAGGTGGTTGATATACAGGCGTCATTCCCTCATTCCCTGCTGAGAAGCAGCAAGAACAGATGCAAATCCGCAGAGGCCTGAATCATGGGTAAGGCGACTGGGCGTCACGCCTTGCCACTCAGCAAGCCCACCCCGATTTGTTTTTTCGGGCCACGAGCGCAGATGTTTCTTCGAGCAAGGGCCCTGGCTGGATTTGGGCCAAGCCGAATTCGCAGGAAAGAGGGGCACTGGCATCGTGATCCTGGCAGATGAAAACTTCCGAGCGCAGCTGGGCAGCACGTGGGACTTTCTCTCATCCGCACCTTGGAGTTTGTTGCATGCGATTTCTCAGGAAGTTTCACCCACAGATAGAGGCCGTGCAGTGCTACGCCCGGCGGCAAGGCGAGGGAAAACCGACCTAGCCCAGAGCTTCCTCGGCCTGAGTAACTTAGGCCTTTTGCCAACGGCCGTGAACACCCCGTAAAAAGGCCGTAAAAAGCCCGTAAACACCCCGTAAAAAGGCCGTAAAAAACCTCTGTGTTTAAACGGCCTCCGTTTCTCAGGCCTTTGGACTCCCTGGGTAGGCTCCGATGCGGTCAGGAGAGCCGATTCGGGCAGAAGGCTTTCTGAGATACCCCCCAAACTTCCATTTGATCAAGATTTATTGGGGGAAAAAACTTGGTTTTAAAGGGAAACGATTTCACTACTGGACATATTTTTATTTTCCCCAGGGGACGTATTCGCAGATGGCAAAGAAAGATGGGTGCCAATGCCTTCTGAATTCTTTGCCATGGTTCTGGGCCGGACTTTTCTCGGTTCCCTGAACCCTCCAGTTCCTGAAGCTCTTAGGTTTGTAGTTGGCTTATAGTCAGATGTGTTTTATTCAACCCACCATGAAAGGGAACTCTTTAGGGGGGATTTGACCGGGGTTTGGTTGTCACAACGGCCTGTTGGTTGGAGCCGGGGACAGGCTGTGAATAGGAAGATGCCCAGAGCTTCCTCGGCCTGAGTAACTTAGGCCTTTTGTCAACGGCCGTAAACACCCCGTAAAAATGCCATAAAAAAAACCAACCCGTGTTTAAACGGCCTCCGTAACTCAGGCCTTCGGACTCCCTGGGATGTGTCGTTTTCGCAACAGGCTGTCAGAAGTCTTGTGCTGGCAGCCTTGCGGTCTCACGGTAGCTGCCTAAAGTCGCTAAGAGCATATTCCCCTTACTCCAAATACCCGCTTTTTTCAAGGTATTTTTTGAGTAACCTGGTTTTCCGCGGAAAATACCGATCCCTTTTTTAGTAGAGGGCCCACATGATACCCTAAAAAAGGCCGGGTATTTGGAGTAGGGGGTTGGTCTGTCGGTTTAATGATTTCAGCAGAAGGAGTCTTTACGTTGGCCCGAGGCATGGGTTTAGCCAGGCTCCCGCCTGCTGCCGCCGACCCTCGGCGCATTAAGGGAAAAGTCACAAGGACCGGTCCTGAAACACGTCCGCAAACCCAGGGACCACTTATAAGATCCTCTACGACCACAAACAAGGATTAACGGAAAAGTCAGAAATAGGGCAGCTAGTCCGTTAATTACCGCTTGGGCCGGCTTGCGCCCAAGTCACTTCGAGTTGGCGCCTCTCCCGGGGTCGCCCTGAAACTGGCCCTCCCGAAGTTGCCCTGGACCGGTCGCCGGCAGGGACCGGGACTTGGGACCCTATCCAGGCTGGTCCCAGTCTGGCGCGGTTTGACTCGACGTATTGGACTCTCTTGCAGAATAGATCCAGGGATCCTCTACTACCACAAGGATTAACGGAAAAGTCAGACAGATGACAGCTCGTCCGTCAATAACCGCACGGGCCGGTTTGTGCCGAAGTCACGTTGAGCTGGTCCTAGAAACAAGGCTGTTGGTCCCCCTCAACTGGTCGCAATCAGTGACGACCTGGGTGCCAGTCCGGAAAGTTTTCTGGAGCTTCTTGAGGTCGCACCACAGCAATTTGAAGCACCAGCATCACACCAGGACCGGCTTCCAGACTGGTCCCAGGACCGGTCCTGGGACCGGTCCCAACCCCAGGACCGGTCCTAGGACCAGTCCCAGGACCGGTCCCAGGACTGGTCCCAGGACTGGTCTTAGGACCGGTCCCGGGACCGGTCCCGGGACCGGTCCTGAAAATCCACTTTTTGTGCGTTCGGGCGTGTCCCCCAGGGACTATCATTGATTCCTGGGACCCCATATGGCCGTTTTTTTTAGGTCATACGCCTTTGACCGAAAAAAATGGCCATACGGATTTTTACGGTTTTTTTTCAACAACATGTCGAAAAATATGGGTTTCATACGGGTGATTTACGCAAATGACCGAAAAATCATGGCCATACGGGCAAATACGGCCAAATACGGGAGTTTGACCGAAAAAAACTGCCATATGTGCCAGGTTCCAATCACTTCCAGTTGCATCCCACGCCGGTCCCCTCTGCAGGAGGCTGGGACGGGAGGCAGAGGGTCGGCAGATAACCACCCCTCGCCTACAATAAAAAAGCCACACAAAAAACGGACAAAAACAAAGAATAAGAACACAACTGCCCTCAAAGACACTTGAAAGCAAAGTCGGCCTTTTGACTTTCTGGTTTCCAATTGAAACTAAAAAGCGCAGACCCTCAAAAGACGAGGGTCGACCCATATTTTGTCGCGTTGCAGGTTATGATTTGTGGCTGCTGAACGGCACGGAGTTCTTGGAGTGTCAACGGCAGGGAACCCAAGGGTTTTCGCGGGTTTTCGCTCGGAATTTACGCAAAATGGGCGGCTCGTGTTGTTTTTAGGCTCGGAACCTTAACAAAAGGCGCGCAAATCTGAGGTCGCGGGATATTCATACAATCCTCCTGCGACCCCATATGGCTGCATGTTTTTTTAGGTCATACGCCTTTGACTGAAAAAGCAGAAATGGCCATACGGTGTTTTACGGTTTTTTCAACAACATGTCGAACAAATATGGGTTTCATACGGGTGATTTACGCAAATGACCGAAAAATCATGGCCATGCGAGCAAATACGGCCAAATACGGGAGTTTGACCGGAAAAAAACAGGCATACGTTTAAATTGCCCCCTTTTCAGTTGTGACTCCATTTGCAACTTGCTGGCCCGCAGGCGGCTGCGAAGCATTCTAGAGTTCAGAGCCCCTTGGTGTGGTTTGGAATTGGAGGAATTTGATCCCCTATAAACATTCCGCCAATGGGGGACCAAAAAAATCGGCTCCAAAGCACCAGGCGGGGAGCTGAGGGACTGGTAGGCAAGAAAGCAGGCGACACGCCACACGCGCAATGCCAAATATGGGCAAACTGCCTGATGGGCGGAAACTTTGGAATGGAGCGGATTGAGAAATGGGAGAGTGCATAGGCGATGGTCCATGTTCGACACTGACAGTTTGCCGAACGGCTTGCGTGTGCATGCTACATATTGCCAAACCTCGGGCGTATGCTGCCACTACGGGCCATGTCGAACATTCAAGACTCGCGCGCGTTCACTGAGTCGCCAAGACAAAGGCATGTATCCTTGCGAAGAGAAGGGCTCACGCGGTTCATTTCGGACACCAAATTTCGTGACATCTCGCCGCTTGGGTGTAGGCGGACCTCTTCCCAAGCACCCCGTGCCCTTGTGTCCTTTTGGAGTGGGTTCCCTTGCAGGACGACCTGCAAGAAGGACGCCCTTTTTTCCCATCCCAGAGCTTCCTCGGCCTGAGCAACTTAGGCCTTTTGTCAACGGCCGTAAACACCCCGTAAGAAGGCCGTAAAAAACCAACCCGTGTTTTTTAAGCGGCCTCTGTAACGAAACGGCCTTTGGACTCCCTGGGCATGGACATCCACGGGTTTCCCGGGCTTCAGTGCGCGCCGATTCGCAGGTTCCTGAACTCCTTCTTTTTTCTGAAGCATTGCGCTGTGGCCGGGCTGCTGGAGCAACAAAGTCCAGAGCAGCCAGGCTGCAAGTTGCCCAGTCGCCTTCCTGACACTTTTTGCGGGAGGCGGACCATTTACGCGCCGGTTTTGTTTCAGCGCGGCTTCTTTACTTGGTGGCTCCCAGCCATCCGGTTCGCTTTTCTGCCTTTCAGTGTTTAGTGGTAGTTTCCGAAATTTGACCCACTCAAAGTCAATGTCAAACTTTGAGCGGGATCTCAGCGAAAACGGGCCCAGTTGAGTCACCTTTGCGGCGGCTTCGCATCGCTGAGCCCGAGGTATAGCGTTGCAGTGATCGACGGCGACGTCGTGCCCGTGGTCTTGAACCGCAGCTTGGACGCCTGGATGGAGGGCGGTGACCTCGCGTTCTATGAGCGCCCCTTGGCTGCACGACGACTCGGTGGGGGCCTACAATCGTACCAAAGCTTTTTTACCTTTTGGCTGCACGACGACCCCGTGGCTCCACCCAAGACCCGATGCCTTTTTTTAGTGGGTATCATTTGTCGACCCTCTACTAAAGGAGGTATGTACCTTGAAGAACCAGGTTGTCTTTAACAAAATACCCTAGAAAAAGTGGGTATTTGGAGTTGGGGGTAGTCCCCCAATAGTACCCTTTGACCTTTTCTTGGGGGCAGGGTTCCCCTACTAAAAAAAAAACACAGAAAAAAGTTGGGACCAACTTATTCTATCCTCCAAAACTGGAGGACCTAGACGAGTTTGGTGTCAGTGTCACAAGGAAACCTGAATATGCCCCCGAAAGCTCCAGATACCCGCCTTTTTCAGGGCATTATTTGTCGACCCTCTACTAAAAAAAGGGATGGGTACTTACCATGAAAACCCGAAACCGGTTTTTCAAAAGATACCAACCAAAGAAAGGCCCGGGTATTTGGAGCTTCCGGGGGAGCTTACAGCTCGGCTCTGGAAGGTCCAAACCCCAAGCGAGGGATCGCAAGCTCTTGGGGAGACAAACGCTCCATGAGGAAGCCTGCAAGTCGAAATGGCCTGCCTAGGCCAAATACCCATTTTTTTAGTTGGTGTTTGTTGAAAAACCTGGGCTTCCATGGTAAATACCGACCCCAGTTTTAGTAGAGGGCCCACATGATACCCGAAAAAGCCGGGTATTTGGAGTTGGGGTGTAGGCAACGCTTGAATCCAGGGCGCAACTTTTCGAAAGGAAGAGAGGTCCGACATTCGGCTTCCATTTTCCTAAAAACGGAGGGTACCCCTTACTCCAAGTACCCGCTTGTTTCTTGTTTTTTCTCTCTTTTTTTTAAAGCCAGGTTTTTCACGGTAAATACATCCTTTTTTAGTAGAGGGTCGACACTATACCCCAAAAAACAGGTATTTGGAGTTGGGGGTAAGGGGGCCATTGCTTGCCATTGGCTGCCAGCCCTCCCCGATTCTTGGCTGAGGAGTTCTTGGTGAGGAGGTGATGGCCGGCCTCTGCCTCAGCCCGGGGCGAGTCGCGTTCCGAGCCTCCCTTCCTTCCATTTGCTTAAGATTTTTTCCCCTGTTGGTTTTAAAGGGAACCTGTCACTACTGGACATACTTTAATTCGCTGAAATGAATATTTGAGTCGACTGGTCTTACAACCCTCTGTGGTCGGATATAGCTTATTGGGGATGGTCTCCAGTCGAAACTTCTGTGAGCCACGTCTTCAAAACCGGTAGATGACTTCCATTTGCTGAAATGAATATTTGTTGTTTTCCCCTGTTGGTGTCAAAGGGAAACTATGACTACTGGATTGTTTTTTCCCAGGGGGCTTAAGCAAATGGAAGCTTCCCCAGTTCCACTTGGGACTTTTGGGGGGGAGGGGCCAATGTCGCGGCAAGCCAAAAGCCGGGGCAAGCGATTTTGCGATCGGCAAATCGATGGGATCGGAAGTGACGACAAAAATAAAATAAACGGGACTGACATCCAATGAGCCTCTCTCTTGGGGGTTGGAGCATTTTAATCAGAAACTAGGTCCCCCAGCAATTGGTGCCCGACCTCTCACCCCTTTTTTGGTTGGGAGGGTTCACCATTCTAACCTCCAAAACTGGACCTAGGAAAACCGGAATGTGAGAAGCTCCTCTCTTTTGGGGGTTGGACCATTTTAATCAGAAAACCGGAATGTGAACTTTTGGGGATTGGGCCACTTTCTGGGCAAACCAAAGTTGTGCACCTTTTTTTCCCCGGCAAGTCTCGGCCTCTCACCCCTTTGGGTTGGGAGGCTTCACCATTCCAACTTCCAAAACTGGACCATCAGAAAACCGGAAGAAGCTGAGGCAACTACATCGCCAAGAACAAGCCCTGGGTGCGCAAGTTCCTGCGGACCTGGGCCACTCATCTCACGCTAAAAGGGTCCCAAAAAACGTACGGCGCGGAGGAGTCTCAGCGTGAAGGTCTGGGGAATTAGAAAAAAAAAAAAACGGTTTTGCCTTGTGGTTGTGAGCGTTTGCAACCCCCAAGTTCCTGCAAACAACCCCCAAATTCCTGCGAAGATGGGACATGGGCGTGTTTGGACCACTTTGGGTAGGTGCCAGGGACGAAGCACAACGAACACCAAAGCCATGAATTCAGGGAATCCCGATCCCCAAAAGCCGGCTGGTGCGAGCAGGACATCATTGGGGGAGTTAGGTCCACTGGAAGTCTAGGTCCCCCAGCTAGGTGCCCTTGTACCAACTTTTTTGGGGGAGGGTTCCCCTACTAAAATAGACTTCAGAAAAAATGGGTACCCTTATTCTAGACTCGCAACTGGAGGACCAAGCATCCAACTGGTGCTTTCCTTTCTTGCATGTTTCACTCGCTACAGAAATCGCAGCAAGAAACGGCGAAACAGGCGGAACAAAAGCGTCGAGTGAAGGTTCCTTCCATGTCCCATTCCCTGCTGAACTCGCGCCGTTCGCAAGAAAAGCCGAGAAAGGCGGAACAAAGAAAATCTTATGTTCGAAGGATCCTTCCCTCATTCTCCCAAGGAAAGCCGAAAAAGGCCGAGAAATCAAAAGGGGGAGAAAAAAGCAACACGTGGAAAAAGAAAAAGAAATAAAAAAGCAAAGCGACAACAACAACAACAACAAAAGAGAAGGACAAAAAGAAAAAAACAAAAAAAAAACCGAGTCGAGTCGAGTGACGGGATCGATCTCCAGGCGAACATGATGGATCGCCAGCCCCCGGGCTTCAGCAGCGCCGACAACGGGGCGCTGCACCTGGTGCTGCTGGAGGCCCTGGAGGCGCCCAAAAAAATCCGCACGCCGCCGATCCTCACGTCGCATTTTGCCAAGGGAGGTGGTCGGACTTGAGCACTTCTTGCCGATTTATTGGGGGGTTTCCGTTAAACCACTTAAAAGTTATACTTTTAGCAGGGGAGCAGAAAGCAACCGAGAATCGTAACGACCCGGTGGCCTAGTGGCCCAGTGGCTTGCTTCCCTTGTTCCTTTTTGTTCTTTGGGTTTTGGGTTCCCTTGAAAGTGAACTAACTAACTGACTAGCTACAGCTGAATAAACAAAAAGCAAGTGCATAAACAACATTGCGGGCAGTTGGTACGTCAGGTCAGTGGGTAAGAACCATGGTTTACTAGGTGCTCCAGTAGTGCCCTTTCTCACCTGTTTTTTGGTTCAGAACCCACAGAAGCCATGGTTGCAAGTCTAAGTGGGTTATAGTTACCTTCGTAAGCTCCAAATACCCGATGCCCTTTTTTTAGTTGGTATCATGTCGACCCGCTACTAAAAAGGGGATCGGTCTGTGATTTGAAAACCCGATCGGTTCTCCAAAAAGTTACCCCAAAGGAAGTGGGTCTTTGGAGTCGGGGGTA